AAAATTCTATAAAAATAAATACTTTTTAATGCCGAGTGGCGTTTTTTAAAATTCAAAATGGCGGATCCAATATGGCGCCTAATTTTTTAAAAATTCATTGGATTCACTTGAAAATGGTTACTCGGGGGTTTTTTGGGTCGCTGATTACGAATCCAGTGATACTTTTTAAAAATTCAAAATGGCGGATCCAATATGGCGGACTTTTTTTTAAAAACTCATCAAATTTGCCTGAAAATTGTTACTCGGGGGTTTTTGGGTTCGCTGATTACGAATCCGATGTTAGTTTTCAAAAATTCAAAATGGCGAATCCAATATGGCGGACTTTTTTTAAAAAAAATCATTGGATTCACTTAAAAATTGTTACTCGGGGGTTTTTGGGGTCGCTGATTACGAATCCGATGTTAGTTTTCAAAATTCAAAATGGCGGATCCAATATGGCGGACTTTTTTTAAAAAATATCATTAGATTCACTTGAAAATGGTTACTCGGGGGTTTTTGGGGTCGCTGATTACGAATCCGATGTTAGTTTTCAAAAATTCAAAATGGCGGATCCAATATGGCGGACTTTTTTTTAAAAAAATCATTAGATTCACTTGAAAATGGTTACTCGGGGGTTCTTGGTGTCGATGATTACGAATCTAATATTAGATTTTCAAAATTCAAAATAACGGATGATTTTAAAAAAAATTTATTTCATTCATTTTAAAATTGAACTAAAAGGTCTCTGTGTTTTACGGGGTTGACACTTTCAACATATTAAGTATATGAAGCCCACATTACTTTTGTTTTTTTTCACTTCTAAAGTAATTTTTCTTTTTTTCTTTTTTTTTTTTTTAATTTTTTTTTTTAATAATTTTTTTGAACAGTAAAACACAGAGACCTTTTACTTCAATTTTAAAATGGATGAAATACATTTTTTTAAAAATCATCCGTTATTTTGAATTTTGAAAATCTAATATTAGATTCGTAATCATCGAACCCAAAAACCCCCAAGTAACCATTTTCAAGTGAATCCAATGATTTTTAAAAAAAAGTCCGCCATATTGGATCCGCCATTTTGAATTTTTGAAAACTAACATCGGATTCGTAATCAGCGGACCCAAAAACCCCCGAGTAACAATTTTCAGGCAAATTCGATGATTTTTTAAAAAAGTCCGCCATATTGAATTTTTAAAAAGTATCACTGGATTCGTAATCAGCGACCCCAAAAACCCCCGAGTAACCATTTTCAAGTGAATCCAATGAATTTTTAAAAAGTTAGGCGCCATATTGGATCCGCCATTTTGAATTTTGAAAATCGCCACTCGGCATTAAAAAGTATTTATTTTTATAGAATTTTTAAGACCTTGTCCGATTTTTTATATCTAAACCAATTTTGGAGAGATGGGGGGCTTCAGTTGACAAAGAATGCCTCATATATATATATATATATATATGCACATATGTGCACATATATATATACATAATATACATAATAATTAGACTTATAGATAACTATTATTATAATGTAATTATTATATAGTATTTAAAATTAATTATCCCATAACAGAAAAGTATATAGATATGTATATGATGTGTGTATGTATGTGTGTATACATCTATTAGAGAAATGATCTACATGCGTTGTTCAATATTATCAACCATAATTAAACATTGCTCTTCTTCACTGCAGTCGATGCGTTATCAACCCGTATGATAATTGATCAACTTAGAATTAATTATGAGGCGTCGATATTGAAGAATATCACATTCTCAGTAAAGTAAATTATATACAATTAATTAAATAGTAGCTTAACGTTTGCGCAATAACTAATGGAAAGATTTAAATAATAATGGACAAACATATTTTTCTTACCTTTCTGAGAAGGCACATATTTATAATATAGTAAATATATAAGAAAGTATGTCATGAGATGATAAACTTTGATCGAAGATAAAAATTGCAATAATAATTAAAATAGGTAATTGCTTTAACTAAAAAACAAATTGAATAACCTTTTGATCTTACAATTTTTATCATAATTAAATTAGATCATTTCATTGTTTAAAAAAGTATATAAACCACTGTTAATAGGCTCATAGTTGTCATATTACTCCGGTGAGTTTCTGCCCGAACAGTATCGTTGAGTCGGCCCTTCAATCGTGAAATTGTACTTTTAAATCAGCGTTAATAAAAAAAGTCTTGTTTCTTATAATTTATATAAGATCGAAGGTAATTTTCATTGAGTTTTATAAGTTCATTTATTTCGATTGTCGTATAATATTATTTTATGAAAGTTACTTCCGATTATTAAAGAAACAAGTTTCTATTTGTATTAAGGTACAGTGTCGAGAAATAACTCTTAAATAATATTAAATAGTCGTTGGTGCATTAGTGCTAAATAACGAACTTTTATTGTCATCCTGCGATACAATTGTGTAAAGCCGGTTGCATTCATTGTAACAATCCAGAATCAACTTTAACATTGTAAGTAAAATTATATTTTAAAACATTATTGTCAAATAAATTGTTCATTATAAAGGGGAATATGCATAATATTATTTACAAAGGACCCTTGTTCTTATAAAGTGACACGAATCCACATAAAAATAAATATCAAGATTTACCAACTTGATAAATCAGCACTTTACCTCCCTTTTTTTGTTAATAAATAAAAACCACCCTCGCCTTAGTTTGGAACGTAACACTTGTTTAATATTTTTGTTAATAACAAACCGATTACAATAAAACTTTTTAGATACCATCGTTACCATACAATACTCCATTCTTAAAAACGGTTATACGTAATATTTATTTTTAAAAAAGTTATTAAAAAAAACGAACTTATCCGCCGCGCGAACTTACCCACCTTCCCCTACTATTTTCGTAATATTATGAATTAATGTGTAAAATTTCCCTTTATTATATTTCTGTCCTTTTTTAATAAATTTTACAGGTGTTAGTGAAACTTTTTTCAGGTAACTCACCTTTGAAATTATCTTATAATAATCTTTGTATTCATTCCTTCCTTCATTCATTCACATTTTCTTAGCACTTGAAATTTCTCGTTATTATTAGATTATATATACATATATATCTTTGCTTTGATAATGAGGGTTCTCGAGGGTTTCTACCTGCAATTTGTATCGTCAAAAACAGCCTTCGGTTGAGGATTTATTTTCTATTATTGTTTATATAAGATGGTCGATGATCGTTTAATGACTGTCCTGTAAGGGGAAGTGGTGTCCCTCATCTTACCAGCCGCGCCAGAGTTATAACCATGTGCTTATACTGGAGAATTAAAATGAAGTAGAAAATCTTTGGTGCCAGCACCTATGGGTTACATTGGTTTAAAACACATCGTATAGGTTTATTGTACCAAAATTATAAAACTTTAGAATATTAACATTTATATTGGGAACAACATATGCTCGTAATCGTGAAATTCTGAGAAATATGTCAAAATAAATTAAAAAATGTTTATATTTAAAAATTTGGATGAAAAACTCATTGCGCTTTATAAAATAATATTGTCATTAAGCCTGAGAACGCCACACAGGCCCCCCGCTGTAATTGACTTACTTGAGGTCCAAGCTCGGGTCAAGTCTATTGAGCAGGAGTACACCAGTTCCCTTTACAGGACGCAATCTGTGATCGCCCGTTTTATCTACACAGCCTTGGCTTGAGGGAAATTTGTTTTCTATTATTGTATACGTGACATAGGTGATGACCGCTTAATTCAGGTGAGTGGAAGTGGTGAACCCATACTTTACTTACCAATGGCTATGCCCGATAACGCCACTCAGGCCTGCTTCAATGTCTGCCTTATGCGAGGTCCTAAAATAGGCCCAGTCCGGTAGGAGTATAGGGGTATTCTATTTATTTATAATGCAAACTCAAATAAACAAACGTCAAATCATATGTTCAACAGAAAAGAATTCAGGGTAAGAAAAAAATAATTCACCGTAACGTTCCAATTCACTTTTTTCGCCAAACCGAATTCAGCTTAAGTTACCACCAATTCTTTTCGCTTACTCCCAATTTTTTTTACTGTGTTGGCCAACATTAGTAATAAGGATATTTGGATTTTGAGGATAAAATTGGTATTGAATATATTTTGATATTGGAAAAAAATATTAATTATTTGATAATAGTGGAAGCTAGATTTTGGAAAAATTTGTTGGTATTGGATAACATTGGCATTAAAGATATTTGAATTTTGAGGATAAAATTGGTATTGCATATATTTTGATAAAAAAAAATATTATATGTTTGATATTAGTGGAAGCTGGCTTTTTAAAAATTATTACTTAGAAAGCGGGTTGAATATTGTTTTACGGGTGAAATAATAGTTTGTGGGCTGAATATTGATTTGAATATCAATTGATAATTTGAGAGACAAAGAGATTTAAAGACATTAGAAAACTTTATATTTTTGAAAGTCTTAATTCAGGGTGTTTGAATGTTCTTCCAAGTAGAATATTTAATTAGATTGTTCCCTTTTTAACCAACAGTAGTTTTTGAAGGTCTTGATTAACAACCGATTGGTACAGTTAAGTGTGAAGTATATGAAATAGCATTTGCAACATCTGTATTGGTTAACAGTGTAAATTAAAAGTTTAATTTATGAAACTGACAATGAAAAGAAAATACCCAAAGAAAAAAATTTGTCATGTACGATAAAGAAATTATCTACAGAAATTGAGAAGGGATTTACATGTTTATGTAAATTCAGTATGCACAACAGAAAATAATGAGAAATTAATTTCTAGTCTTATTATTAGTGAAAATTTTGATCCCATGACATATCCAACAATGTTTCCTTATGGTGATCCTGGATGGACTGTTAACCTTAACCATACTCTAGGTACTTGTAATTTTATTCATTTACAATTTTATATGTATCGTCTTTCATAGAGAAGAAAAAAGCGGGGATTGCCACATGTGCGTTTAATTATATTTTTACGTACACGAATTCACCCTGCATGGATTCTGAGATGGGTGAATTAAATATATTGCTAACAATTCGATTATCGTAGCATATAATCTTTATTTGAGTACAAAATTTAAAGGTCACATTTACTGCGCAATAATAGGTATTATATTATTATAACACCATAATGTTGAAATAGTAATACAGTAACGATTTCAAAAATAACATTATTAATTTTGTGAGATCAATATTCCGATAACTTTTCGTCAAATAAAAATAAATTTTTAATTTTTTATAAAAAATTATAGATACCACGCGCGTTTACGCGCGTTTCTTTTAGCTAGTTTAAATTATAATGTTAAAATATAGGGTCAGTTAGAGTAAATAGAAACTAGGGGTAAATCAAAACAGTAGTTATTTCAGTTAAATAAAAAATTTTAATAATAAATACTGCCTTAAACCTGGAACCATAGATCACCCCTAACAAGTTCTAACTATTTTCCCATTTTCCGTTTGTCAATTAGCAGCAGTATAAACAAAGTTATTTCCTATTGCATAAAAAATTTAAAATCAAAGAAGACACCCTTTCACTTTTTTGACTCGTATTTGGAAAAAAATAAACTAAAAATTTATATTTTTATTTATAATTATCTTATATTCATACTACAACAAAAATTAACTTTGATTTTTTCATTTCGCAAAATTCAATTAAAAATAGGAGACTGTTTCTATTTACCCCTAAAAACAGGAAATTCGAGGTAAATAGAAACGGAAATTCAAACAATATTTTTCATATCAGAGAGACAAAGAAAATTGTTTCTATCAAATTACAACACTATTTCCAGCATTATAAAAATGTATTGAAAATAGTATCCATTTATATTATCATCGGTACATAGTATTTAACAAATATAGACTTGTTTTGTTTTTTATTTAATGCATTATTATTTAATAGTTTGAATTATTTTATAACTAACACCATTTTTTATGTAATTCTTTGTATCTTTTAACATTTTCATACTTGAAATTGATTTTTTCTTAAATTTTGTAAGAAATAATAACTGTTTCATATTTACCCCTAAATTTTAGCAAAGTTGAAAAATTTAGGGCTAAATAGAAACAGTTAATAATTGCGATTTAATGATACCCATATTTTCTACTACCCTATAAAATTGTTCCACGGAAGTTGAATAATAACTCCATGCACAAAAAACCAAAAGAATTGCGATTTGAAAGAAAAAACTTGTTATTGGTGAAACTTAGCAAATCTGTTTCTATTTACCCCAAGTGACCCTAAAACATTTTATTAAATAATTGTCAAAAATGAATTGTATTGACATCAAAAATTATTATTACGAATTATAAAATTTTTATAAAAATAAGCGAGTAGGCCGCATCAACAAACTTCAAGCAGGAACAGAATATATTACGAAAAGAATTAAATAAAAATTCCTATTGCATATTGTATTACTTACTCTCTATATCTTTCGTCTGAGGATTTTTCAAGAAGAGGCATTCCAGAGAGAAAGAGTATAATTAATGTTGTAAATATAGGGGAGGCAATAACAATCCATTCTAATCCCTCTATGACATTTAAAGATATAATAAAGATTCCCCACCAAACAGTAATCTCTCCAAAGTAGTTTGGATGTCTAGAAAGTCTCCACAAACCTATAATTAAAATTTTAATTATGATCTGCAGATGTGTCAAAATGTACAAATGATGCAAAATAAATCCAAATGGCCAATTATTAATCTTAACTTAAAAAACAGTTTAAGAGTGGAAACTCATGTAAGAAAATTTTTGTTTACATTTTTTTGCTTTACAAATTAGTTTATTATCCGTAGAATATGATCTTGCATTACACATGCGAACAAAATTTGATTAAATTTACTTTCCAAGAATCAGACAACACTTTTCCCAAGGTTTTTGATGTGCTAAATCCGAATCCGGATTCAGAACTGATCATGCACGTCAGGTTTTCGAGTTATTCTAATCTTAAATTGCAAAAAACACGTTTTTCACTACATTTGAGGACATGCAACATCAAGAGATAATTTTTTTTTCCAAAAGGTCAATATTGCATCTGAAAGTGCTATTCTTCCCCTTTAAAACCCATTTTGAAAATTTAAAATATCTTCATTTGTTTCTGAGTAATCATTCATTCAATTTTCTGAATATGGCGAATTCTTTGATATTTAAAAAAATCGTCCGCTATATTAAATCGATTATGAATTTTAAAAATCTGTCATCAAATTCGTGTTCAGCGTACTCAAAAACCATCGAATAATAAATTATAAGCAAATACAATCGATTCGCAGCAATTTTCATTTTTTTGATTTTCTTATTGGAGATAGCTAATTTTTTCAGTAGAGCTTCATTCTCCAATAACACCGCTTGTGTCTCTTCTCCTTCGCCATCTTGATTGTAAATGAAGCTTCCTGTTGCCCTTCTAGTGGATTTATCCATCCAATTTCCCTCTCGATCCATCTCACTCAAGCGCATTATGAGTTCGGCCTTATTCCCCATCGTGCTATCTCCTAGAAATTTTAGTATCACTATTAGCTGGACTACCGTGAATTCTTGTGGATTTTTCTCCTTTCCGTCCGCCATTTCTACTAAATAAATTCACTCCTTGAATTTAACACAACACTCAAACTAAATGGCCTTCAGTATTTTTCACCACAAAATTTCACTCACAACACTGATTAGATCCAGGATATTCAAGAGATCACCACCAGAACATAAGGGAACACAAAACTCACAACCGGCTTCTACTCGCATTCATGAAAATCGTTGATAAGCGACGCCTTGGCACTAGACGCGTCGCGTCACTATTTTCGGACATTAAAAGTTTTAAAAAAGGTGGATTTCTATCCCACTTATGAGACTGTAAAAGGATGGGCGTTTTAAAAGAATAATAAAGAAATTTCAACTCCGACATATAAATTAAGACTTAATATTTAATTTAAAATAAAAGTAAAACCGCTGCCTACTTGAAGTATGAACTATTTGTGTTAATTTGATAAACACTTTGCATAGAAATTTTTTGTGATCAATTTGCTGTAACTTATTTGGTAATATAATAATTTTAAGAAGGTCTAAAGTTGTATTTCTTGGGCATTAACAGAGATAGATTTTAAACATCAATAACTTCGTAATATCTTACAATAAAAGGTTCAATAATAGGTCAATTAACTCGTTTTTAAATATTCTCCAAGTTGTTCATGATACTTTTAAAGATACATAAAGATTTTTTCATAAATAATGCAAAAAGGAAAGGTTTTTCAAAATTTTTCAATTTCAAAATGTTAATAACTCTGAATAAAATAGCAATAGGATATTCGCTAATAGGTCAAAAGATGCGCCTTGAAAAACTCTACAAAACTAGAAATAAATATTCATTGGTGTCAATACATTTTTTAAAGTTATGGCCAAAAAACTTCTTTCTTTAATTTTTAAAAATTCAAAAACTTTTTTTTAAAGTTATGGACAAAAAACGAGTTTTCAAAAATTTTTAAATGCAAAAAAATAAAAGATAATCGGTATTAATATTGCTCAAAGTACTCTCATTATTTGTCCGCCAGTGAGACCTACAAATTAAAAAAGAAATTATCTCTTTAGGGGCCTACCATTTCATGAGGGAATGGCGAAAAATTGATTTTGTTCATACTTCATGATTTTGTTGTGTTTGGGGTGCTAAATGAGTATGCCTGTAACGAACTAAGAGATACCTTTTTTTATTTTTAAAAAGCCTTGCTTCACAATGCGAATTCTTATATTTATAATCTATTTAATCTCAGAAAATAAATATATTTAATGACTCATCAATTGAGTCATTCATTTCTTATTAGTTATTTTGAGATTGGGATAAGTAGTGTCATCAAAGGTTAATAACCGTCCTTAAATAAATCACATAATAATAATTATCAAAATTTTCTCTAGTAACAAAATTCTATAAGACTAAATTTAAGCAACCCCGAAATTCTCGAATGCGTGGACAACACCACGATTAAATTAATGTGGATATGTTTTGAATTAGCACAATTGAGAGATCCTAATTTATTCATTTCATTAATATCATTTAATTAAGTCAAATCAAACATGCTGAATTGACAGAACTATATGTACATTAATTAGCTAACTAAGTACCAAGAACTCATATTACGTCAGTGACTTAAAATGCAGTTCCTTGGTAAAATAAAAGACTCTTAAGGTGTCATATGAAAATCTGAAGTTGCAACACCTTGTTTCGCAACTATAATTAAAGCTAAGCCTACTTTATCAAGTAAAGTTAATGGCCTCAAATAAGTTCTGTAAAACAGCAGAGATTGACAAATGTATTGAGAAATACATTTCCTCTTTCAAAATTTCATATCATCAAAAATTCCCCTCCAAGGACCTCGATTTCGTGTATTAAAACCAATGCATTCCCTGACAATGACAACAGTTAAATCCCTGTATACGGGTTATCGCGATGTCGACCGTCCGCGTGATTCGGCCGTACCTAAAGGCTGCCGAAAGCAGCTGGTCTCGGGCAGACGTAAAATTAGAGAAACCGTTTTCAAGGACTAAAGGTTAAGAATAAACCCTTTGTGTTGTTCTTAGATAAAGTGAAAACTGTGCGTGATTAACTGAAACTCTATCTTGCAAACCTTCTTTTTTTATTTTAAGGGGGCAAACGCACCGAGAAATTTCAAAATTTTCGATTTTTTTTTTTTTTACTATTCTTCAAGCTTAACATCTTAAGAATGTGTGGTGAAAGCCGCATGCGAAAATTCGAATAAATAACAAAGTTAGAGCCGATCTAGTAAAAGCGCGCGGAATGCGTCGTACAGCAGTCTAGACAGCGCCGAGCGGCCGAACGAAATTCAGGTAGTAATACGCCGTCGGCCCCTATTGTAACACCAATAAACCACTTTTATTGTGTTTACTAAAAGGCGCTGACATCTATATTTCATTTCGGTAACGAATTTTCAATCTGTCAATTTTGTGATTTATTCATTACTCAACTTTCAAACGCGTTTTTCTCGAAATCATGTTTTCGAAGTCGGTACGCAAGATTTCTCGAAAACTAATTAACCGATTGCAAAGATTTTTTTTGTGCTTATTCTACACATAATTATCTAGTCTTTAACGTACGGATTTTTTTTTTAGTGGCTTATTTTTTTTTTAATCGACGAAATAAGGTCGTTTTTTCCTTAAAAATCGATTTTTTTATAAAAATGTCCGCCATTTTGTCAAAAATCGATATTTTCAAAATCCCGTACGTAAAAGACTAGATAATGCTCTCCAGATTAATAATCTTTTTGGTTTTTTTGATTTGGATGATTACAGATGAAGCAGGGCTGCGTACCGCAAAGCGATAGTTTTTTGCAGTACTTGACAAGCATGAGGATATCTCAGAGAATTTTTAATTTTTTTCATAAAAAATTTCATGATATATTCTTCAAAATGTATTTTATCATGTAAAAAAAAGATTGCTTTGATTGAATTAAAAGGTTGCCTTAAAAAAAATTAAAAAAAATGGCTTTTTTTCGCGTTTCTCGGTGCGTTTTCCCCCTTAAGTTGCAACGGAACTATTCTCGCGTAGAATTATCCCTGATAATCGTCTGGTAGTTTTATATTTAAAATTTAGTAAAAGAGAAGGTAAAGGAAAATATAATTTGTGAAACCTCGAAATTGGTTACAACGATTGAAAAGTTATCGATAGTGATAGTCATTTATTGAACACTATTAAAAATAAATCCTAAGCGCAGAATTAACTTTGTTAATCGTAAGGACTTCTCTTCTTTTAGCGGTTTCTTGCACAGAAAATCACGACGATTTCCAAGTCACTACTGTTCGCTGAAAAAATTCTCCTATTCACTTTTCTTCACTATATCTCGTAAATGGTCCTTCCCATAATTATCTATTGCTATACTAGTTAAATATTCGCATTGCGGCATCATTTTTTGAAAGAAACAAACAATGGATTCAACCAACAGATATACGTTCGAGACCGTATTAGAAGAGGGATTAAAAAGATCAATTTTAACACTTTTATTTCGAAACTAATGTGGTAGAACTTTGGTATTTTACTGAACTATTGTATTTTTATTGAACATGATATTATAATATATTTTCCAGATTTTAATGTTTTTCATACGCAAATTGTTAATTAGATTTTACAGAACTATTAATTATCTTTTACTGAACTTTACTAACTGTATTTTTCTTAATGTGTTTTCAAGAATAAACTATTGCCTTGTAATAATTAAGATCTTTCTTGTTGTAAATTAATGTGTGATAATTTGCAGGAATAAATATGTTAAATTAAGCTACCTTTACTTTTTTTTCTTTTAAGTGCAAGGTAAACTTCTTTTTTTTAAAGGAAGCTTATTATGTGCATAAAAAAACCCTGTTAATATAAAAATGGTGTTTTTTGTTTTTTCGAGAAAATTTTTTTTTTAATTTTTACTGGAATACCCTATTGGCGCACAGTGGGGCAGAATGTTAAAAAAGTTGGCATTAAATGTATTTTTCATTAAAAATTATTGACATTAAAGATTTTAAAAGTTTTTGGGTCGCTGATTACGAATATGAAGTCAGTTTTTAAAAATTCAAAATGGCGGATCCAATATGGCGGACAATTTTTTAAAAAATTAGTTTGATTTCTATAAAATTTGGT